GTTCAAATCCCGCCGAACGCCTCGAGTTTTTTCACAATCGGGTCAACTCAAAATAAAAATATATATTCAAGCCGTTTGACATTTTGTTATCAAGTTTAGCAGCGTATAAAAAACAATGAGTTCATAGTTTGTGAACTTAACTTCAAAATTGTTACGATCAAGTTACACCTCGAATCAGATACAATTATTCATTAGTAAATTCAATCTATATTTCTGTTACTCCATGGCGATTCTCCGTCTCATCGTATTTGCTTCGTAGGCGTAGTGTGACGGTCTCGACTGACAGATCCTGAGAAATATAAGTAAAAAGGGACGTGACATCGAAGGAAACCATGATATCACTTGGCAGGCGACTTACCCCTTTTAGTTTATCCAAGAATTGTGTTGATGAGCGAACCATGGTCCTTGAATCAGTGGTCAGGAATTTGAGACGCTAAAACAGCCATTTCGCCAGTCCGTACGTTAGAGTGCCTTTCGGTGATACGATGGGTCGGAGAGGAGCGTCCTCCTTCTGCACTTCAGGGAGGTCATAGAAGTGGGCCAAGGCCGTTTCGTGAGCTCTCGCCATGCGTCGGTCAGGCGGCATTATTACATCCGAGTTCTCTAGTGCCATCAGCATCGAATTGATTTCACGTTTCTGCTTTTTGATGGGATTGGTTTCACAAGAAACATAAAACTGGCCATCGTCCAGTAAATTTTTCACCCTCTGAAGGTAGTCGATTCTGTCCAATGTGACCGTAGAACGTCCCTTGTCGGCTGGCATGATGATGATGTCCCGAGCGGCTTTAAGTGCTCTTAGTGCACTGCGTTCGACCTTATGTCTACAGGACCTGGTGCAGTTGCGAACAAAGCAACTATGTCGGAGAAACTAGCAGACTTCTCAAGACGCAAATTGGCGAACACGCGGCAGCAGTGCGGCGAAATGATGCCAATTCTCAAGTTGCGGCTCATTCGATAAGACTTGACAACACCTTCACATTTGATGAGGCCGAACTTCTCGCAAGAGGTGAACCGAAAATTACTTGAGTCATGATTCCCAGGCTCCCAATTCATAAACACGTGCAAAAATTTGATCAATTCAATATTCGGTGGTAAGACTTAATTTAGCCTAAGCAAAAATGCCACTTGGGGAACGGACCTTCCACCGCGTCCTCCTACGCCAACACAGGAGGGTCAGATGGTTGAGTAATCATTACGCCCAAATT